CCGTGGAGCCATCTCTCCAGCCCCCTAAGTTTTATCCCTACCCATTGCCTTGACATTACTTTCCCAGGTCACGACCTTGCCACCCTGCCCAGTCTCCCCTTTCTCTGCTCTTTTGTCCTTGGTCCCACTCTGCTTCCTGTTCACACTGTCTCCACCATCAGAGCATCTGTCTGTCAATACCAGTACCCTAAGAAGGAGACCAGACTGTGTACAGAGCAGACTTTAATGACTACTTTTTGAAAGATTGAAAATTCTGTGGACTGTGCTTTAAACGGCTAATGGTAACCAAAGAATTATTCCAGGAAAAAACAGAATTAAAATCGAAAGCTTGCGTCTATGTTATAATTATTCACTTTAAGGAATGGAAAGAAATTTGGAAAAATTGAGAAGGCTGCATCACATGGTCCCTACAGTGCAGGGAGTTGGCCACTGTGTCTACTGTTCTTAGTCCCTTCCAACCATGAGGCTGGAGACCGCTAACAGCCCTTAAAATACGTGTGTGTTGATGAAGTGGGATGAGACCGACACAACCAGACTAATTGATTTAAAAGCTTTGTGAGTACCACTGACGGACGTGGTACTGTGGCCTCCCCTTCTATGTCCAACTCCATCTCATCTTCAACTCCTTGGGATCCCTGGTTTACTACACATTTGAACAGGGGCTAGCAGAGATCGGAGGAAGAAAACTAAAACTCCACAGAGCATCTAAAAAGCAAAGGGAAGAACAGAAAAGCTGTGTTCCCCCCTCCCCCTCCCCCTCCCTCTCTCCTCTCTCCCTCCCCCTCCCCCCTCTGACTCCCGATCCTCTTCCTCTCTGACCATCCCAGAATGGATGAAGCTCACACATAAAAACAGCAAGTCCAGCTGAGGCACTGACAGGAACAGACAATGTAACTGCTGCATTTGTTTGTTTTATATTTGCTGGAATGGAGCATGCCTGAAAATTTCGGTATAAAACAAGCCCAAGATGTAGGTCCTTTTCAGTTGGTTACTAGCTTGGCCGTGTTCCTTCAGACACCACTTGACTGTGTCCTCACTGTGATATAATGAGGTTCCACAGAGCATGCTCAGGTCAAGGCAGGGAAGAGACTTCCCACCTGTAGATTCCTCAGGACAGGTCCTCCCACATCCCCGTTATTTCTGTGTTACCCTTGTAGACACAAGGGAAAATTTTCTTTGCTGCTAGGGTGATGGCCTTGAGATAAACCATTTCCAGAAAGGCCATTTTCCTCCAAACACACCTGTAAATGTTATTGTCACAGAAAGAGTCATCGCCTTATGGCTTCCTTTCCAGAAAACTCCCAGTCTCAGGCAGAGCGGAATTGATATTACTCTTGTTTTTGAAGCTGAAACTGATTCTCAAAGAGACAGTGGGAAAGAGTGGGAGGAGAGTCTCTGTAGCAGGGCATCAGGCCCTCATGCGCCAGGGGAATGTTTCCTTGGAGTCTGCTGAGGACTTGGGGTCAATGCACAACTTAGCAGGAAAGCTAGAGCCTTGGAGCAGACGCTCTATTCTTCTGACCGTTCAGAAGCGATAAGCCTGTGCTGTGAAGTGCACCAGAGGCTTTCCGTGTCATTGTACCACTGTTTCCTTTTCTTGGTTGAACAATCCAGAACCTTCCAGCTCCCTCCCTCAGCCTTGTCAGTTGCCTTCACCTCTTCTCACCAGCCTTGTACCTGGGCCTGCAATTCTGCAGCTGTGCCCGATGTTCACAGGAACTTTGTTTTATGAGAAGCTATTGAAAAGGTGACTGAGAGTGTAAACAGTGCATGAGAGAATTGCACAAGCTGATACTCGTTTTGTACCTTCATCCTCCAACAAGTCTGCTCCTGAAACAAGATAAAAACAGGAAAATGAACCATTGCTCCAGTTTCCACAGGAACAAGTTAGAGGGAGTTCCAGAGCCTTTCAAAGACTCAAATGATAACCCCTTAGGAGTTAAGTCTGCCTCTGATATCAGGAGACAGCCGGTCAGTCATGTGTTCATTCATTCTACTATCAAACATTTACTGGACAAGCCTCAGACATTACGAGGAATACAAAATAAAGATTAAATGACCTTTTCCCACAAGGACTGCATTGTCTACTTGGGTGATAAGAGATAATAGGACATCTCTGTACAGAGTGACCAAAGCTTTCAATGTCAGTGAGCTTCATCCTAGGGGCACAACAGCTCAGAAAATGTGTATGATGCTTTATGGACATTCAACAAGGGAGCTACTCTCACAAAGTAGATTCCTACTTGCTGTGTAGACTATTTCAAAGAATAGCAACAGTAAATGATTTATAAGCATCCAAACACCAGCATCCTCAGAATTTTCTATGCATTGTCTTATTTGGTTTTCAGAGGAATACAAGTATAAGCTATTATTATGCTCACTTTACAGAGGGAAAAACTAGGTCATTAGACGGCTTGACAACTGATCTAAATGACTCAGCTAACAATGGAACACCAGTCCAGAAGCATCGCCTATGATCATAATCACTCTGTCATGCCCACCTTTACATTGTGAATATATACCCCAACTAAGGTCCAGGTCTGGAAGGAACAATTCCACACCACCAAACTCTCAACAGGCTTGTACTACCAAACTTTGAACGCAATCTAGCTGAAGTTGGGGAGGAAAGGTTACCTTTCTCCAAATGTTCTGGGGGCTGGAAGCATGTAGGGCGCAACTACCCTTCACAGGGAAGCGTGATCCGAGGTGGCATGGGAAAGTGACAGCACTCTTCTCACAAGGCCATGAGGCTGGCTGTCAGCAGAGGGCCAGAGGAGAACTTGGAAGACTCGGATTGCCTTCAGAACTGGGCCTTCCTGAGAGACAGGTCGGCTTATCTCTCTACACTCATTTTCTTTAAGGGAACCTACCACTGTGGGAACTCTTTTCCTTGTAGGGATCTGAGTACACAAAACACAATGGTGGATAAAACTACATCCCAGATGGGGAGTAAAAGACTCTGCTTTGGAGGAAGGCGTTTGCTTAATGATGACAAAACAGTAAGTCACATAGAGCACCAGTGTGCTGTGCCTTCTCCCTTTGAAGGCCTTGGGGTTTGGCGATGACTCTTAGAGCTTATACTGGTTTCCTCATACCCATACTGATGTGGAACTGAGATGGTTAGACCCACCTAAAAGACACACAACGTTACTTTTCCATCATACTTTGACAGTAGTAGTCCATGTTAAATATGAAAGGCCCAAGTGGCAATACTCTTGAGGGAGAAAAGGGTTGATAATTAAGAGCCATTATTCTCAATTTACATATTGGATTTCACTATTGATCTCATACAGCTGAGTTCTCTACTCCGAACTTCTTACCACTCTTGAGAACACGATTGAGCAAACATCCCGCCCACCTATCAATTCCTTTCTCATCAAAGTGTACAGAGTTAAAACAGAATAGTTATAAAGAATAAGTTATTGAATGGATGAATGGATTAAAATGTGTATTTAAATATACATGTGCATGAATGCATGCATCAATGATAAATGAATGAAAAGGATAGATGGATGAGCTAATTTCCAGCAATAAGAAGAAAATGGCACCTGGATGCCCCAACAAAGTCTCACTCAGTAGTCAGGACAGGGAACTCCTTACCCCCTTTTCAAGGTTCATCTGCCAAGCTTCAGACTATGTACCATCGGCTACTGCCTCCTGTTTCACATGACAGGAGATAGATTGATGATCCAGGTACCTAGGAAACTGAAGGACACAGAAATAGTTGAAGACCTGGTTTGGAGGGGCTTGTATTGTATTGAATATGTTCTCGAAAGTTCATATATTGTAAGCTTAATCCATGAATTCATGTGTGGATGACATTTGGAAGTATGTCCTTTGAAAGGTGATAGGAAACAGAGAAGAATCCCATGATGGAATTAGTTGTTCCATAAGCAGGGGAAGAAAGAGCCAAACTGGCACACTGCTCTGTCTTGACCTGTGATGCCCTTCGCCATGTTATGGTGCGGTAAACAGGTCCTCAACAGATGCCAACACCGTGTTCTAGGACTTTCCCACCCTCAGAACCGTGAACTGAACAAAACAACACTCTTCCTCTGTTCATCAGTTATAACAACAGAAAACAGCACGGGGAAGCTTACAAAGGATCATGTTTTGCCTAAGGTGAGGAAGCTCTGCAGCCAGGAAGAAAACATGCTCACCATCCCAGCAGAAAGTGCCAAACCTTCAGGTGGTGTGGGATGAGGAGAAAGTGTGGGAAGAGGTGCGGAGATGGGACAGAGGAGGAAGAGCCACCCTTCACTGTTCCTCACTTAGGGGGATGCCTTAAAGATGAAAGGGCGGGTTCCAAGACAGGAACACAGGCAGATGAAAGTGAAACTTCCCTCCAACTAAGGACCAGAGGGGAGGACTTGCCTCGCTGGAGGAATCAGGACTGATAGGACAGGAAAGGGGCCCTTGGAGGGAGTTTGAACTCAGTTGGTCTGTGGATATTCTGTGGGGAGTTTTTCCATGTCCCTGGCCCATCTGTAGGTCCTAGGGGTGGAATTCAGAGACCCATTTAGGAGGTGGTAGAAAGATTCCTGGATATACAGTGAGAATGCTAACTATGATCCTAGACGTCCCATTAGGTTCCCCTGGACAGCCCCTATCTACACTGTGTGCTGTTGAAGGGAGGACAGTGAAATGTTTATTTGAAGTTCAACATTCACCATAGCTCTTTGTGAGCTTTCCAGTTTAAGTTCAAGTAAAATGACTTATAGCATCCTCAACTGTAAAATTCATAAATATCCTTTCATCTAACCATACATTTATGGAGAGACATCAGGATCAGGGTCTCCCAAACATCCTTCCACTGAAATGTACTAACTCATTTGAGCCTTAACAGTGAGCATGTAATTTCTACCATACAACATTTATCCTTTGCATCAAATGGAGTAACTTGTAGTGATGTGGATAAGTGAGAGAGTGTGTGAATGTGTCAGGAGGGTCTGAGGAAGGGGTCTGCATCTATCAGTGCCCTGATGCTCTCTTCTCTTCAGGTACCAGACTTGCTCCAACAATGGACTGGTGGCCGGCTTCCAGAGCCGCTACTTCGAGTCAGTGCTGGACCGGGAGTGGCAATTTTACTGCTGTCGCTACAGCAAGAGATGTCCGTATTCCTGCTGGTGAGTCTGGGAACTAAACCTCATTCCTCATAGCTCCTGGGGATGTGGGAGCCTATGATGTTCTGGTCCTTCAAGCAAGCCCAAGATGTCACAAACCAGCTTGATAAACAGCAGCTAGAATATATGAGAATGAATGGCTGAGGAAGACTATCATACAGGAACCCTACAGGTTATCCAGCCCAATGTTCCCATACCCCTCTTTTGCCATAAGAAAGAAACAGAAAAATGCAGGAAGGTAGTGGCTGGCCAACATCACCCAGCAGCTGAAGGCTACTGACTCCTGCCCGTACCTCTTCCTTCTCCCATGCTGACGTCACCTCACAGCCAAGTCTGTTTGGGACCCATATTCCTGCAGCACCTCCAGGAGTAACCAAGTCTCTCCTGGGTCACTGTCTGATAGAGAGTTAGAGACAGAAAGCAGAACAACAAAATCAGCAACAACAAAGTGAGGCTGGTGTTTCCTGAGTCACCTGACAGCCACAGCCTATGATGTGCTATTTGCTTATCTCTCCCTGGGCCGAAGCCAAGTGCTTCCTCACTTTCCTTCCAATTGCCTATGAGAGTCCATACACATTTGCTTACCCTGATAACTCACACCCTGTGTTAGCAACACAGCTTAGCCCAGATTCTTTGGTCCACAAGCAATCCAGGCGTTTAAACCTTCAACACTGGAAGCTTGCCTCATTCAAGTGATTTATCTCTCTCTAGTCTGATGCTTGGGAGGACAGCCTTGCGGGTTTTGTTTGTTCTCTGTGGTCACAGGGCTACTCCACAGATGCCCCAGAGGCGCACGATGTCTCTAGAGACCCTCAACTCCAAAACCTTAGCACTTTTCTTCTTGAACTAAAGACAGTAAATTAGCAGCTCAAAGTTGGCCAATGTCTGAAGCTGCATGACGGAGCAGAAATCTCTAGCGCCACTAAATTCCTTCAGTAAAGCACTTCTTACCCCACCACAGCAGGTGAGCAGGCATGCCAAAGGTGGCTGATTCAGCCAAGGCAGATCCCGAATTAAAGACTAAAGATCTGCATGCTATACTGGGCCCAAGGAATGCTGGGAAAGGCAAGGGGAATCTTTGGTTGCAGCTTCCATGCTACTTTTCACTTCAGTCTCTTTCCTCTGCTCCCCACTCTAACTGCCCTGTCCTTGGAAGGTCACTGTTACTCTTCTGAAAACCTCAATGCACCATTGAAAATGATGGCAATGTTTATTTACTGTGTTTCCAAAAACTGATGAAAACGACAGTTTGAGATCTGGAAGGAAAACCTACTTACCCAGTTTATGCAAAAGAGTATGAAGAATGCCAGGAGTCTTCAAACTCCCCAACATGGGCATGTTTCTCAGAACCCCTGAAATGTGGGTTGAAATTCAAAGCACTGAGAGATCTGTGAGGCTGTGGTGGGTCCTCACACTGTAATCACTCCAGAGGTGTGGTAGCCAAAGGGCAATCCAGATACCAGTTTGCAAAGAGGACTCAGGTTCTAAAGCAGAGAGGGGGAGTAGGGATGAACCAATCTCCCCTTCCTATCTGCCAAGAGAATGGCTCTTCCAACATTGCAATAAGTATCCTTTGTGGCAAGGCATTCAAAGCCAGTTAAAAGGTGAATGATGTATCTAAATGAGCAAGCAAAAATAGTCATCAGCCTAGTGATGCATTTACCACATTAGCAAGATTTTTATTTTCTCAACCTCCGAAGGAATACATCATAGACAGTGTCAATATGTGGCCCAAGGGGTGTTTGAAGTGTTGGCCCAGATGAGTGTTTGCAGTGTGTGGTTGAGAGGGTAGGCATCCTCAGGCAGCTGGAGGCTCAGATGTAGGCAGCTCTGACTCTTCACAGATGTCTCTGGGACAGCATACTATTACATTCTATTATGTATGGATGCCTCTCTCTACCTAGACTTTGAGTACCTGGTATGAGAAAAAACATTGATCATTGTATCCAGTGTCTGTCTAACGGAGTGCTTGGATCTTAGTCTCTCTCTGTGTATCTCTCTGTTTCTGTTTCTCTCTCTCTCTCTCTCTCTCTCTCTCTCTCTCTCTCTCTCTCTCTCTCTCATGTGTGTGTGTGTGTGTGTGTGTGTGTGTGTATGAGAAAGAGACAGAGACAGAGAGAGAGGGACAGAGAGAGGGAAAGAGAGAGAGAGAGAGAGAGAGAGAGAGAGAGAGAGAGAGAGAGAGAGAGAGAAGAGAGATTGAGCCCTGGGCAGAAGTTTCTTGTTTTCTTACAGTGCTGGGGATCCAGCATTCAAAGTAGATGTTGCAGAACGGTGCCATATTCCCAGTCATAAGTGGTTTCTTAATACCTGTCAACTGGGTGTGCAGTTAAGTGGTTCTGGAGGACATGCGGAGGAAGGTAATTTTTTTTTCTTTCAGAAAATAGGTTGTTGTTGTTTTTAACTTCAGTAGATTTTTTTTATTCTCTAGTCCACCCTCACGCTTCTGCAGTACAAGCTCTGTGCTCATGGAGATCTTTGTACTAATGCATGCAAATCCTTTAAAAAGAATTTTTACATGTTTTTCTTTCTTATTTATTCATTTGTATTTTATGTACATTGGTGTTTTGCCTGCATGCATGTCTGTGCGAAGGTGTCAGATTCTTTGGAAGTAGAGTTATAGACAGTTGTGAGCTGCCATGTGGGAGCTGGGAATTGAACCCAGGTCCTCTGGAAGAGCAGTCAGTGTTCTTAACCATTCAACCATCTCTCCAGTTCCCTTACATATTTTTCTATGTGTGTGTTTGTCTGTGTGTAAATGAACATGTGTTCAGATGCATGTGCACATGTGTGTGGATGCTAAACATCTACCCGGGATACAGCTCCTACGGAGATATCACCTTGTTGTCTGAGAGAGTCTCTCCCTGGGACTTGGGTCTTGCTGTGTTTAGTCTAGACTGGCTGACCAGTGGGCCGCAGGTGTCCTCCTATCTCAGATTGCCCCGTGCTGGGGTCACTGGTGTGAGCCACTACGCTCAGATTTTGACATGGGTGGTGGAGATCAAACTCAGGTCCTCATGCTCATGCAGTGAGCCGTTTAACTGCCCGATGTCTCTCCTCGGGTCCCAAAGCCTTTTCATGACGTCAGGTATATAGCTGGCACTCACATTTGCTCAATTAATGAAGACTCAGCCTACTTCCTGGTTGTATACATAGTGAGAGGGTTAAAGGAGATCACAGCAGCCTGTTATTACACTGGTTATGATTACACAAAGCTGGCCTGCTTTAAAGCAGAGTCCCTTCCACTTTCCCAACTGCAGGAGAGGCCATCTAACGGACTTTTCAAGGGCAGACCCTATCCAGAAACACCCAGCAAGGCCCAGTGTCCCTTGCAGAAAACAGAACATACGAAAGGAGTTGGATATGTAGAGGAGGAACAGGGGTACACTGAGTCACTCTTTCCCAGGAGGAAGAAGAGTGATCTGAGCCAGCCACGTTTTCCATCACAGTGAGAGCCTGGGGTCTCTGCCAGGAGGAATGAGTGAGCCTGCAGTGTCTGGGGCCAGACGGTCACAGCTGCTGCCTGGGGTCCTGGACAAACAGAACAACAGGGAACAACGGGCTGAGGGCCCAAGGCTTCCAGCCATCAGGCAGATAACTGCTTGAGCCTCACGGGCTTTAGAAAATCGGACTGACAACAGAGGTTGAGGATGGATGGAGAGAGGGCTGGGACAAAGGAGAAGGCATATAAAGCTCCCCTAACCCCAGTCTTCTCAGGATTTCTGTATGGTGTGTCAACACGCTGAGCACTGATGCTTGAAGCTCACCCTGTTTACTTGGGTGCCAAGGCCTGATAAAGAGAAATCTTTGTGTATCGAATTCCTCTGTTGATCTAATGATGCCCCAGACTACCGTGACATTTGTGGCTGCCCCACAAATATTACACGCCCATTTTTCTCTTCAGAAATGACTCCCCAAATTCTCCTTAGATGCAGCCCATCACTTATAATTCTAAGAATTTAATGACTATGGAAAGGTATGTATAGGAACAGAGAGCCTTGGTTAATTAACAATGGTCAAAATGAGAAGAGCAACTTTGCTTGAATTGACAGAAACATTCAGGTTTCATAAAATTTACCCTCAAGCCTTGGTCTTCAGTGATCTTGCAGCCTGCGCTCCTAACCCCCAACCCCTCATTCTCCCTCACCCCGCCCCAGGTCCAGATATATCACCACTGGTCAGAATCACAGGGTAAAGAGAACAACATCACAAGCCAGTTCTGAAGCTGACTCCACAAATGAGTGCTTCAACAGATTGACTCTACCTCAGACAGCACAGTGTCAGACCTGGGAGTTCATACAGTGGCCTATGGAAGTGGTACATTTCCCAAGGAGACCTCAGAGCAGTGGTGGATGAGCATGCACTAAACGCCATAGAACACAGCCTATGACTCACTGTTCCAAGGGTGTCTAGACACTTCCGTGGGATCTTTAAATTGTCTGAGTCATGGTGTTATATTATACCTTTCTACATTGAAGGAAGCCCCAAGGTCATAAATTCTCACTCCTTCAGCACCTCAGTGTACTGCCTGGCCCTTAATATAAAAGCTGTCAAAAGAATAGCTGCATGCTGCAAGCCCTGAAGAGCAGTAATCACAGTGCCACTAACGTTGACAGAGTGACTTTTTAATAGTTGACAAAACCTTTCTTTGCACTCAGTATTCTGCTTGATCCTTTTAACAGCAATGCACAGTGAATTGACAACTATGTTCTACCACCCTGCAGTGAAATGCTGGTGATCCCTGCATCTGAAAACTGCTCTTACATCACTTTCACTGACTTGAATTAAACGGCAGAACTAGACACATGAAGGGATGGACCTTTCCTCCTACTTTGTTTCCATTGTTGTTTGTTTTAAAGATTTATTTCATTTCGTGTGTGTGTGTGTGTGTGTGTGTGTGTGTGTGTGTGTGTGTGTGTGTGTGTGTGTGTGTGCTTGTGCTTGTGTGCGTGTGTGTGTGTGTGTGTGTGTGTGTGTGTGTGTGTGCTTGTGTGTGCTTGTGC